ATATATATATATATATATATATATCATACTGTTGGTCGTTGACAACTTTTGCATTTCTCCCACCAAGAAGAACCATAGCCATCGATATATCCTCCTTGCCCATCAATTGTTAAACCATTTACATATTGGATCACAATCCAACATCCCCTATCACCAACCCATGTATCCATAGTTGGAGCAACTATTTTCCCTGCAAGCTGCAACAAATTATAGCAAAACAAAAGTAAATAAGTAATTAATACTATTTATTTATTTAATATATATACATATTGTGCATTTGTATGGTGCAAAATGTGTACTATTCTTATGTAGTATGATGGAAGTAATTGATTAGCAAGCTATACCCTAATGCAAAAACTTTGTGCCTTACAAGGACCATTGAGCTCTAATCTTCTCACAAAAAATATTTTTCCTGCAGGTATGACTAGAGTTACTGGCCCTCCCATTCCACACACACGTTGCCACGCACTTAAAATTGCCTACAATCAATTAGAATATATAAAATATAGATACTATTAAATTAATGAATACTTAGATGTAAAATTAATTTCCTTAAATAATAAAAAGTAACAAAATTGAAAGCCATATACATTTGAATCATCAGTTTTGCCGTCGCCACGAGCTCCTTGGTCCATCACATTAACATATGTCATTTGGGTTGTAGCATTGCTTCGGATACACAAACTGGGTGAAACCAAAAAATGAATCAAGATACATGAGATTATTAGCCTTTGCATTTTTAACCAAAGTAAACTCACATATTAAACAAGATTTTTCTTTTGCTAGCTTGTAAAGGAATAATAGGTGAACGGGCTTTTATAGATTAAGCTTGCTTCATGGTAATTGAAAATGAATAATTAGCAAATCGGAAGAAAAAAAATCAGTAAAAGAACAATATCATAAACGTTAGAATATGCTGTTAATATATATATACCACAAGAGGAAAAAAAATTAAATGAACAATATCATATCCAATATATGCTTTTGATGTTATGAAATTATTTTTTTTCCATTAAACACTAAGCATAGAAAATGCAAATATCTTGTTAATGAAGTGTTGGTTTATTTTATTCTTTTTTGATGAATGTAAGAGCTTTAACTAATAAAATATCTAATAGTATATCTAAATTAATTTAATAAATCACCTAATAACATTGATTAATAAGTTAACTATTACATAATTTAGTCATTTAAATTTGTTTTTATTATATGCAAGTGTAATAATTAATTATCTAATATATACAATTTTAAATTTAATTTAGTTTTTAACAATGTTAAGTTAAATACTATAAATTATAATTTATTAATACAACTAGATTGGTGGCTTGTGTAAATATATGAATTAATTTTTTAATCAACTCATGATATATGAATACATTATTTTATCAACCGTTCTTAGTTTAAGTAGTTTAAGTAGTTCTATACAATGTTTTAAAAATCAAATCGATTATCAAACTGGTTAAATTAATGGATTAGTGAGTCAAAGTTCGAACTGGTGAGTCATTAATTAAACTACATGACTCGGTTTCTATTATTTTTTTTCAACAAAAGATTTAAATTATATATATTTCATACTTATACATTTTAATAAAATTCATATCATATCTTAAAAAAAGTCCTCCAAAAAAATTATAGTCAATATAATATTAATAGAACAACTAAATTATGGATTGATTGAACCATATTAAAATAATTATATATAAATAATTATATATATATATATATTAAAGTTTCCTTTCTTGACATATAATTATAAATAATTGTATATATTATATGTATTAAATTTTTCACTAATAAAACTAAAAGAGTAACTTGTCAGTAGGGATGGCAATGGGGCGGGGCGGCTACGGGGTTCATGATACACGTCCCCGTCCCCGCAAGTTAAACTCATCCTCATCCCCGTCCCCATACCCGTCGGGTATAGATTTTCATCCTCATCCTTGTCCCCGTCGGGTATCGGGTATACCCGTACCCGTCAATTTTTTATTTTTTATTTTTTGTAAAAAAAATGATATTTTTAAATTATTTTTTTTATTATATTATAATTATAATTAGGTTATTTATTTATCTCATATTATAATAAATAATCACACATAAAAAATATTAAATTTTTTTAATATAATTAAATTGAAAGTGAATATTAAATTAAAAATGAGAACGGGGACGAGTACGGGTACGGGTACGAGGCGGGTAAGTACATACCCGTACCCGTACCCGTACCCGGTCAAACCGGGTATTCCCCGTCAAAGTCGGGACGGGTTCGGGTATTACCCGCGGATACGGGATTTGCCATCCCTACTTGTCAGTAGAGTGGTTAATCTTTTAGTATGTTATACTTTGTATTAAAAGGAACAAATTTTATCGAGTACGTTGATTTTGTATTTTTGTATATTTTCACCTTTAAATTGAGAGATAAGACCATAGTTTTAAAAATCGGACCGATATTTTATGAGAATTATTTTTTTAAAGTTATTACACAAGTATACTCCATAATGATAATATTAAATTTACATATAGCGAATAATAAATTATCTGAGAAGATATTTTATGAGGGTTATTTTTTTAAGGTTATTATACAAGTATACTCCATAATGATGAGATATTGTCTACTTTAGACTTAAGCTCTCACGGTTTTGTTTTTGGTCATCACCCAAAAGACCTCTCTTTCATTAAAGTATGTTTGTGTTATATAAATTGTTATTTCTTATCTTATTTTATCGATGTGAGACTTGTTTATATCCTAACATGACGTTAGCTTTAAAATTATTCAATTCATATTTTAAAATTACATATAATACTTATCACATTTGAAATATGAATATCATTTTATAATTAACTGAGTATATTCCCAATCAAATCTGGTAATGCAATTTACAACTAACTACTTTAAATTTTTTATTCGAGTATATCTCCCAAAATAAATAAATCTGCCAGTTGTGCATCTTCTCAAAATTATTGATACTATTACCTATATTTAATATGGCATGTTAGAAATTAAAAATTTTCATTGTCATATTATATTTTTTTGTTAAATACATGAATAATGGATTGAATAACTTTGTATGAGTAGTCGATCTTTTACACGATGTGTTCAATACATAATGTAATTAAATCCCACTTATTACATAATTTAATAGAAGATTAGAGTATATATGTAATTCACTATAAAAATCATAAACGATCCTTAATCTATGATTTTTTATATGGCTTACAAACTGAAAGTATATATGTTATTTAATTTTAATCTCACTAATATAAGTTAATATATATTAATGATTTAAAAATCATCATTTAAAAAAACAAAAATTATCGATTTGGATTTTTATGTCGACTTGAATCTTATGGCAACAAATTCTATTTACCTATATACTTGTATTGAAAATTATTGCATAAGCTAAAATTTTCATAAGATATTTTTAGAAAATATTAGGTTTAACTTTATTTTGTGCCCTCGAAGTTTTATTTTTATTTTTGCAAATTTTGGTTTCAAGTTTTTTTCTCACAAATTTTTCTTCAAACTTTTAAATTTCAACGATTTGTACCTGTCTATCAATTGTCCATCAAAATACTAACAAGTGATGATGTGGCATGTCTAATATAGATAATATGAATAACATAGCATATGTGGTAGAGGTTTAATTGTATTTTGTGTCCTTAAACTTTTGTTTTTGGGCAAATTTTGTTCCAAAATAATTTTTCTCACGATTTATGCTTCAAGACTTTTAGATTTTGGTGATTTGTGTCCTCCAATCAATTGTCCATCAAGATATTAACAAAGTGCTTGTCATTTGTGCCAGTGTAATGGGTTTTTACTTTGTGTTCATAAAATGATGGTTTCCATGTGAAGAAGTCCATAGATTGAAGAAAGAAGATTACATGCCTTTTATTCACTCTTCAAGATTGATATCGGATACTTTTTGCATAGAAAAGTACTTGTACCAAATAGAAAGAGAGCTAGGTTTTTCTCGAAGTGCAAAAGGACAAGCAAGAATTGAAAATAATTAAAAAATAAAGAACCCAATGCTTGATGAACTAATTGTACAAAAATCATACAAGAAACCAAATATTGTTAGCTACTACCATATGATAAACACACATGATGAACTATTCATATATAGTATTTATTTAAAACTATTCTCATTAGAGTAAGGTTATGATTAGGAAGGGTTACTAACAATAAACTCTTTAATATATTATTTCTAGTACAATTTATTATTAGTTAAAATTTATTGAAAATTATAAAATTAAAAAGAAAGGCATAAATGTGTAACATCTTAATTTTCTGAAATAAAATAAAATAAATTATTTTTAATAAAAAATATACCATAGACTTAGTTAATTAATTAATTAAAATCATAAGTAATAATGTTTTTATTAATTAAATAACATAAAATAATTACTTTAATAAAATAATTATACTTCTAACTTAACTAATTGGGTTAATGATATAATTAAAATGTTTTTAGAAAGAATAGGCAATGGGTTAGAAAGGAGTCTTGGATTTGACTCTTGAGCCCAACCTACAAACTTATTGACAATAAGAAAAAGAGGTTGGGTCATATATACGTGTCAATTTTTTAAACCCTAAGAGTGTCTATAGAGGAAAAAATTAGAGGAGAACTCCAAGGAGTACTTGGAGTAACCTCAAAATAATGGAGATCATGTTCGTTGTCTTGGAAGTCATTATTTGAGGAACTAACCAAGAAGTACAAGTTGTTGCAATTCAAGACAATGTGATAACAATTGGGAAGCCACTAGAACATATGTCTCAGATGATGAGTAATAATAAAGAGAAAAACCTATAGGAGGCTACCAAAGATAGTATAGAGTAGCGACTAAGGCTACAAAGGATGTGCTTGTGTTACGGAGTTGTCCTTGAGGTAAGAGAGAGTGAGAATGTCTCAATCATGCGCACGTATGAGGGGTATAGGTAGTGAGGTGACCCGTAAGCCTCTTAAGATATTAATTGAATTATTTTGAATGCATATGTGTATGTTCTTGAATTGATCTATCACCTTATCTTCGTAAATTCATGAATTATGATGATTGATTCGAATGGCTTTGTACATTGGGGGTTAGGATGTATAATTTGTTTAATTATGAAAATTATGGTATGATTATGATTTTTACCTCTTAAAATCCTATCACTTATGATGGGGTGGTCTTATTCTATGGCTCTTAGGTTATCTTGAGATGATAATGATGGGGGGAGATTTGTACCACATACAAATAGAATTAAACACACACATTTGCACGAGTCTATATAATATAATTGTGATTGATTGTGTTACATGAATGATTGTCATTGATGATGAATGAATGTAGAGTGATTAATGTATATGAGGTGAATGTTTCCTTGGATGTTGGATATGAATATAGATGCATGTATGAAGCTTAAATATGATGTATGTCTTGTTTAGTGTTGTGTACTTGAAAAGGAGAATAATTTTATTATTATTATTCATACGTATTACATTTTCCTTATACCTATTTGTAACAATCTAATCTTCTAAAATAAGGAAATAAGGAAAAATATTCTGAAAAATATCATAGGAGATTCTATAGATATTTTCTCTAATTAGGAAGATTTTTCCTCTAATTACAAAACTCCCCCTCAAGTTGGTAAATGAATATCAATCATTCCCAACTTGCCTACAAGATCTTGAAATCTACCCTGAGGGAGCCCTTTTGTAAAAATATCTGTTATCTGAAGTTCTGTAGGAACATGAGTTGTAATCACAAAGCCTCTATCAAGATTATCTTTGATGAAATGTCTGTCAATCTCAATGTGTTTGGTCCTATCATGTTGTACTGGATTATGGGCAATGCTCATGGCAGACTTATTGTCACAGTATAGTTGCACGGGGTTGTCCACCTTGACTTTAAGGTCATCCAGAATGATTTTCATCCAGAGTCCTTCACACATTCCTTGAGCAAGGGCTCGGAATTCAGCTTCTGCACTAGAACGAGATACTCTATCTTGCTTTTTGCTCCTCCACGTTACGAGACTATCTCCAAGAAACATACAATACCCAGAAGTAGATTTTCTGTCAGTAATAGAACCTGCATAGTCAGCATCAATATATATTTTCATAGTCAATGTATCTTCCCTTTTGAACAATAACCCCTTTCCTGGACTTGACTTCAAGTACTGGAGAATTTTGTCAACTGCTTGCATGTGTCTCTCTCTTGGATCATGCATAAATTGGCTCACTACACTAACTGCATAAGCAATGTCTGGTCTTGTGTGTGATAGATAAATCAATTTCCCTACCAATCTCTGATATTGGGCCTTCTCTATAGGAGCACTTTCTTCACTTCCAATTCTGTGGTTTTGTTCTATAGGAACTGTTGAGGTTCTACATCCCAGCTTCCCTGTTTCTTTGAGGAGATCAAGTACATATTTCCTGTGTGAGATGAAAATTCCATTTTTGGAATAAGCAACCTCTATTCCAAGAAAATACTTGAGTTTTCCTAGGTCTTTCATTTCAAATTGGACTGCCAATTTTTCTTTTAAATCCAATTTTTCTGTTTCATCATCTCCTGCAGTAATCATATCATCCACATAGACAAGCAATAGAGTGAGTTTACCTTTAGAAGAGTGTTTTGTGAATAGAGTATGATCTCCTTGGCTTTGTCTGTATCCCAAGGAAACCATTACTTTTGTAAATCTTCCAAACCATGCTCTAGGGGATTGCTTAAGACCATACAATGCTTTCTTTAGGAGGCATACCTTGTTTCTTTCATTTTTCACTTCAAAACCTGGGGGAATCTCCATGTACACTTCCTCTTCTAGATTTCCATGAAGAAAGGCATTCTTCACATCCAACTGGTGTAAGTCCCAACCAAAATGAGCAGCCAAAGCGAGAACAACTCGAACTGTATTCATCTTTGCCACTGGGGCAAACGTCTCCTCATAGTCAATCCCATAAGTTTGGGTATAGCCTTTTGCCACCAATCTAGCTTTATATCTTTCTATTGTCCCATCTGCCTTATGTTTCACTGTGAATATCCATCTACACCCTACTGCCTTCTTGTCTCTTGGCTTATCAACAATCTCCCAAGTTGAATTTTTTTCTAATGCATTCATCTCTTCTTTCATGGCTTGAGTCCAATGTTCAAGTTTCATGGCCTCTTGGATTGAGGTAGGAATTTCTGTGGCATCAATGGCAGCAATAAAGCTTCTGTGCTTATCAGAGAGATTGTTAGTGCAAACATACTGAGAAATAGGATATTTAGCACATGATCTTCTTTCCTTTCTCAATGCAATGGGTAAGTCCTCAGTAATACTTACCTCCTCACTGTTATCTTCAGGGATCCTCACCTCCGGATTAGACAATTTTTCTTGCTCGAGAGCCGAAGTGGGTTGTTTTCTTCTTTCATATTTTTTGCCAAAAAATTTGTCTTCCTCTTCTTCCGCTTCTTCCTCATTGTGGACCATGGTAACTTCATTGCTTAGATCTTGGGCATCCTGCAAAGACAAATATGGTAATGACAAGAAGGAGAGATCCTCCACTCCAAGTGCTTTCTCCCCCTGAAGTACTCCCCCTGAAGTGGTGGACTAGCATAAAAGGATTGTGTTTCATGAAAGGTGACATCCATGGAGATAAAGACACGACGACTTTGAGGATGATAACATTTGTACCCTTTTTTATTAGAAGGATACCCAAAAAAGACACATTTAAGAGCTTTGGGATCTAATTTACTACGATTAGGATGATGAGAGTGAACAAAAACAGTACATCCACAGACTCGACTAGGTAGACTGGATATTAGGGAGGAAGAAGGAACAAAAGTCAATAAAGACTCAATAGGACTAATTCCATTTAAGATATGAGTGGGTAACCTATTGATGAGATATGTGGCAGTTAACACAGCTTCTCCCCAATAATTTTTTGGAACAGACATTTGAAACAGAAGAGCTCTAATTACTTCAAGAAGATGACGATTCTTTCTTTCTACAACCCTGTTTTGTTGAGGGGTGTTTACACATGTTAGTTCATGAACAATACCATTATGAGACAAAAAATTGATAAATTCATGATTCACATATTCAGTACCATTATCAGACCTAATTCGTTTGATATTTTTTCCAAATTGATTTTGGACAAGACGGAAAAATTTAACAAATATTTGGAAAACTTCTGATTTATTTTTCATAAGGTATGTCCACGTGACACGGGTACAATCGTCAATAAAGGTAACAAACCATTTGGCTCCGGAAATAGATTCTACAACAAGTCCCCAAACATCAGAGTGAATTAAATCAAATGGAGAAACACTCTTTTTATTACTAATAGGATAAGATGCACGATGGTGCTTTGACAATTGACAAATATCACAATTAAAAGACTCAACTGACTCTTTGGTAAACAAATGAGGAAATAAGGACTTGATAATGTTGAATGAAGGATGCCCAAGCCTTTTATGATGTAGCCATATTTGGGAATTTTCCCACGTCTCAGATGTAGCTTGTTGACTCATGATTTTTGTTTTGCTTTGGTCATCAGACTCCAACAGATACAACCCACTTTGCTCCTTAGCAGTTAAAATTGTCTTCCCCGTGGCAAGGTCCTGAAAAGCACAATAATTTGAGAAAAATGTTACTGAACAATTTAAATCCTTTGTGAGTTTTTTCACAGAGATAAGACTATTGGCTAATTGTGGAACATGTAAAACATCCTTTAATACAATAGGCGATTCCAAAATTATATTCCCAGAGCAGCATATAGGTACACCCTGACCATTTGCAACTGTAATAAGTTGTTCTCTATTTCTTTTAACATATGAGTTGAAGAACACACGAAAAGGTGTCATATGATCAGTTGCTCCTGAATCAAGAATCCAAATACCTTGAGACACATGACCAACAGTATTGAGACAAATCTTACCTTTCATGGATAGAGTACATGATCCAGAGGGCTTACTCATTGATTCAACCATTGCTTTCAAGCTCTCAAGTTCCTCCTTATAAGCTTTCATATCAAGTTCAGGTGGTGGTGAAGTACTGGGTTGATTGGTGGCTTCCTGTTCTGAGGTAGTATGATTTTCCCATCGTTGAGAGACCTTTTGTTGTTACCCATGCGTTCGAGAACATTATTTCTTCCATGGAGTTTGAAGCATGTTTCCTTGGTATGTCCAGATCTTCTACAGTATGAACAATAGTCTCCATGATTACCTTTTTCAAACGACTTTCCTCCGGCATTTGCTCCCTTGTGGACCCCCTTTCCAGTTGTCATGGCAGAGCCTGTGTTGGAGATCCCCCCATCAAGCATGACAGCTCTTCGAGTTTCTTCTCCTCTTACCATAAAAAATACTTCTGATAGGGATGGTAATTTTTCTCTTCCTAAGATTTGTACCCTGATTGGGTCGTACTCATGATTCAGGCCATGGAGAAATTTAAAGATTCTTCCTCTTTCCATGGCTTCACCATGTGCGGCAGCATCTGTTTTACACATCTTTATTGTTTGGTACTGATCTAATTCAATCCAAAGTCCATTCAGGATTCCGTGGTATTCTGATACGGAAAGAGAGCCCTGTTTTGTATTAAATATTCTACTTTCAATGTCATAACATGCAGCAAAATCCTTTTTTAATGAAAAAGTACTCTGTAAATCATCCCATATTTCTTTGGCAGAAGAATGAAACATATAATTTCGACTTATCTCAGGAATCATGGAATGCCACATCCAAGTCATAATTAGTGAATCTTCATTGTCCCAAATTGGAAAATTTGAGTTGTCTGGTCCTGGCCCTCCACCATCTATGTGATCCAGTCTTGAACGTCCCTTGAGAATCCTTCGAATATACTGGCTCCACTGTAGGAAATTCCGACCATCCAACCGATAGGCACCTACCACATTTGGAAGATCATTAGGACCCAAAGGAATAATTTTTACCTCAGACATCCTTTGGAACGCAATCTGGTGACCCTATCCGAGACAACGACGACGTGTGGGATACACCGGAAAAAGGAGCAGAACTCAAAACTCAGATCTACTCAAATCTAGGCCAAATGAGACGTCACCGACCCGTGGAATGGACTCAGGAGGCTCCGGCGACTCTTTCTGCGGCGGCGGCGGCGAGTGGGTCTCGCCGGAGCTAGGCGCGTGGGCTACATGCGCCGGCGACGGTGGCGACGCGTGGCGGCATATGTCTCGGAGCGAATTCCGGCGTTGTGTTCGCCAAAGTTGGGCGCACCTTTCTGCCCTATCAACGACCCTAACAGCTACGGTGGTAGCCGCAGTGGCCGGACAGTGGCGGCGATGGCTACTGTTTGCAGCGGAAACGGAGCTCCCAAGATCGGGAGCTCTGATACCAACTTGAAAAGGAGAATAATTTTATTATTATTATTCATACGTATTACATTTTCCTTATACCTATTTGTAACAATCTAATCTTCTAAAATAAGGAAATAAGGAAAAATATTCTGAAAAATATCCTAGAAGATTCTATAGATATTTTCTCTAATTAGGAAGATTTTTCCTCTAATCACAACAGTTATCCTTATGTCTTATATGTGTAACGCAGTGTGCAAACTGTAACGGGGCGTTCCAAAATTGGAACGGGCCGTTCCAAAAGCTTAAAACAAGGGAGATTTAGTAGCCCAGAACGGGCTGTTCTCAAACTGGAATGGGCAGTTCCAGACTACTAAATAGGCCTGTAAATTGTAGTTGAGAATGGGGCGTTCCAAACCCTAGAACGGGCCGTTCTGGTTGGAGAACGGGCCGTTCTGGTTGGAGTACGGGACGTTCTGGATGGAGAACGGGCCATTCTGGATGAGTTCCAGAACGAGCCGTTCTGATTTCAGAATGGGCCGTTCTGATTTTAGAACAGGCCGTTCTGCATGTGCTTTCTACACATGGTGAAAGGGTGTAGAACAGGCCATGATGGAAGCCGTATCCGATCGAATAATTTCAATTAAGTGTAGTACTAGGAAGTGACTCCTAGGTCGTCTCCCAAGGACCTTCTTTTACTGTTAAAGGCTTAAACACACAGTGGGGGGGTATATTCAAAGGAAAGCAACACAAAAGACGATAAGGGAGTGAGAAACATCTCACTCTGGCTCACAGTGTAGAAATATACATCAGATAGTCAAACACAAACAAGACATGTATAGCATAGATAGATTAATAATAATATCACATCTCACTCATCTTAGACATAAAAACATCAATTTATCATATAACATTAAGAATGCATATGTATGGACACGAACTACATATTATCATGCATGTGATGCCAGTAACATATCACATGGCATATTGTCGCTAGCAATACACGAAGAGTAGTCTAGGAGTACATGTCGGGTCACACCCTTTACGCACTCTCACTAGAAGGACATACTACCAGGGTCTCGTCGAGATAGCTAAGTTGCGCAAGATACATCTCATGCACACAATGAGCGAGACTAGGACTTACAAACCAAGCTATCCCCAAGGACTATAATCCCCAAAGCTTTTACACTAGGGGGCCTTCCCTGGCGGTGTATTCTATATCGTACCCTTAAAAATATTTATGCAAATGATGCATGTCAATCAAGACTCTATGCATTCTCATATCACATCGTCATGTCTCATTATCATATCACATCGTCATGTCTCATTATCATATCACATCATCATGTCTCATCATCATGTCACATTATCATATCACATCATCATATCTTATCATCATATCTCATCATCATATCTCATCATCATATCGCGTCATATTCTCATAGTCTTCACAGAGCACTTTAATTCATATCAAAACTTGTCTATTTACGAAAGTAAACACATATTCGTACATCTCATTCAACAAGGAATACATCAGAACAATTAGAAGATAAAACAAAAAATAATAGAAATATGTTTGTTTCTCATAGGGTTCCCACAGGAATCCACAGAACACTTTAATTCATACAATAAACATTTAAAATAGTATAATTTACTCATACAATTACCTTTTCAAACAATCTCCTCTTAAAATCACCAATGCATTTCCTTAAGGTTTCTCATAGGAACCCATAGAGATCTCAAATCATACATTTATTTACATATAAAAAGAGCAAATAGAAGAAACATATATAATTGGGAAAAACCCCTCATAAATAAGCATACAACAAACATAGGATTGGGGGCCAATCCCACTACCCAACATACATTCCCGCACCCAGAGCAAGGTTTCTCACTCCCCCCTTACCTCGATAAGCAGGAGCTGTAACTAAAGCAGGATCTTGCTAGTCTCCCCCTCTGGGTTCCCCTTGGTCTTTAGAGAGTGTAGAAGAAAAAGATATCAGAAGTGAAAAAAATGTCCTTTTGGAAGTGCCAGAGCGTGCTATTTATATCAGGAGTCGCCAGAACAGCCCGTTTCAAATCCGGAACGGTCCGTTCTGGACTCGTTCGTCATGCGTAAATTTCACATTCAGAACGGTCTGTTCCAAAACTAGAACGGCCCGTTCTGTCAGGCCGAGCTATACCGATTACAAGCGGCCAATTTGAATATAAGTGTGATATGTTGAAAATGTTGTTACTATTAGATGATATTGTGTATTTATTGTTATAAGTGTTATGTTGCTTTATGTTGCAAGTTGAAAGTAGAATTCTATTGTTGTTTATTATTATGTTGAGGCTATTTTTTTATGATTGGTGTTGTGAGCTTACCCTAGCGTGTTTTCCCTGTGTGGTTGAGACTGCGATGACCATACCTTGGTATGCGAGCAGATCGGGATAGGTGTTCTGCTGGACTGGGTGAGCTTCGAGACTCAAGAGGAGAGCTAACATTGTAGTTAGTTGATTGGTAGTTTTTGACTACTTAGTTGTTGTATAGGGTATTATTTCCCTATTTTCAGTTGTATATATATATATTGAGATTTTTTTTAGTTGTGTATTCTCATTATATATATAATGATTTAGTGGTGAGATATTATTTTTTATACTTGTATTTGGACGCTATAGACAGTGTGAGACCTGACGGGTCGTTACAATATGTGTTATACATGGATGACATGTATTCTCATTTCTTATGTTTGTTGTTAAGTATTTGGATTGATCGTCATTTGCATAAGTATATCAAATATAAGAGGATGAGTATGATTGTAGAGAAGCTTAGTGCTTTGATTGGTGTTAGGACTTATGATATTGTGACATCAAGGCTAGCAGATATTATCTCATTTTCATAGCTATAGATGGAACTTGATTTTTTTTATGATGAATTATGTTTTTGAAAGTTTTATATAAAAGGTTGGTTTGTGCCTTGATTTGAACTTATGCCACTATTTGTCTATATTTCTATTTGAGAGTTTTATTCAAAGTTTTGTGAACCCTTTTACTAAACGAGCTAAGTTTTAATAGATTTTTATGAGATTTTTAGTTTAATAGATTTTTATTATAAAAATCATTATTTATTATGCTTTGAGATAAAATGGTGTCACAAAATGTGAAGTAGAACCTACTAAAATTTGTGATTTTAATAAATTTTGATTAATAGTATAAAGTGTGTTTTAAAGAATGTATTAGAGAATATATTGTCAAAACATTTCTCTTATCATTGGATGATAGTACGTAGGGATGACAATTCTACTTAGACCGTGTGACATTTCCTACCTTTCATGCATTTAGGACTTGTTTGGATAAACAACTTATTTAAGATCTTATTTAATAAATTCTTATATAATGAAATTTTTTTAGTATACAAACATTGTGGAAATTAAAAGAAAATAATGATTTTCTAAAAAAAATTCTTGTGCAAAATAGGTTTCACATATTAGGATTAACAAAAGGTCTATACTTTAATTAAATAAAATAAAATGGATAAACAATTAATTGACACTTCAAATGTCTACATTTGCTTAAAATCAAATTACAAAATATGAAAACAGAACATAACAAACTCTACTTAAATCTTAAGCGTAACAAACATGAAGTTAGACATGAAACACATAGAAGGGGGGTTGAATATGTGTGTGTTATTACGAAGGAATTTTATAAATATTTTTACAAGAGTAATGTTCACCGTCCAATGCACTCTTAAATACCAGACGGTTATGCAGAGTTTGCTTAACACAAGGGTACTACGTCTAAAAGATATATCGTCTGCTGAGGAAAATGTTTCATATAACCATAATGATTAAGACTCTTGCATTTTCCTTTTCAAGATAGTTTCATATAAGGATAAGCAGTGGATAAAAATTTTCAGTGTAAAATATTTGTTAAACAAAATTCGCATCTTCGTTTGAAAAGTAGTTTGTATAAAGAATAGACAGCAGACAAAGTTTTTCAACATGATTTGTCAATTAAAAGAAATTTGGGTCTGAAATATAAATAAAACAATATAATCATTTTTATATTGGTTCGCTCAATTGAGCTAAGTCCAATCTCCTTCAACTGAAGGGTTCCACTAGTTAAGCAATTCAATGCATAAGTATTGTCAACCACTTTTGGCTCGTTGACTTCACTCATCAACGCTAGTATTTTCTTTTCAACCTCTTCAGGCTAGCATTGAGTATTATCATCCACTCCTGGACCTGAGTATTCTCGACCACTCTTGACCCGTTGACTTCACTCACCAATGCTAGTATTCTCAAACCACTTCTTGTTCCTCAAATATTCTCGACCACTCCTGGCCTGCCAGCTTCACTCACCAGCGCTAGTATTTTTAAACCACTTCTGGTTCCCCAAGTATTCTCGACCACTCCTGGCCCTCCAGCTTCACTCACCAGCGCTAGTATTCTTTGTTCAACCACTTTTGGCTCTCAATGAGTGTAGACACCCAATTTCGTCCAGGGGCATACAAATAACAAGATAGGACATTAGAGGGCCCAAAAGCCCAAATCAACTATTTTTAGTGGCCTAGAAGGGGCCGTTCCAAAATCAGAACGGGTCATTCCCAAGTTCGGGACAGGCTGTTCTTGAATTGGAACGGGCCG